CACTAACACCAGATCTTTGAAGATCTGGTGACTTTTCCCCCCGGTAAAACACTGTTCACAGTGTGTAGCTCTATAATCTCACTGCTGTTATCACCTTATCTGTACACAACCCTTCAGAATAGGAATCTGCACAGAGATCAAGTTCTCTCCATAAAGGCCAGTACTGAATTCTTAGGGAAAGCCCCAACTTGGTTTTCCCTCCAACAGACCTGAAGTTTTCCCTGAGGTTACAACTAGACAACTGTGTTTTATAGCTATAGATAAACTTCACCTGCATGATTTTCTCTTAATCCTTTTTAAGCTACTACATTTTTTGGCTTCTTCAGCACCTTGTGGCAACGAGATGATGAATTCAACACTTTAATTATGCACTATTAAAAAACTACTTCCTTGTGTTCATTTTAAGCCTGCCATCTGATAATTTAATTAGGTGCCCCTAGTTTTTGTTATGAAAAAGGGAAATAATTGTTTCCATTCACTTTCTCCACATCGCTCATAATCCAGATTTCTATCACATTCCCCTTCCAGTTGTGTCTTCCCAGGCTTTTAGCACCCTGCCAGTTTAGTGGCAGTGTCTCCTCCTTGTACAGAATTCATTCAGTTCTACAGTATTGTTTTTTATAACAGGGTGAGCACAACAGTAGAACTATCTGTAACACTGTTTTCCTCAGATATTCTTAATTCCTTTAAAATCTAATCAGTTTTTAACAACTACTAAGCCTTGACCACTCAGGTTTGAGAGGTCTCCAGTGTAAATTTCTTTTTCTATGAAAAGAAACAGCACAGAGTTCATGCAGGTGACATTGGGTTTATCAGCAACAAATTCCACCTATTTTACCACCCAACCAATTTTGTGCAATATCTTGGCTGGGTCTACACAATCAGCATTTCACTCTCCTAAATAACTTTGCCATGAGCTTTCTCACTTCTCCAGGATCCTTGGTAGATCTTTCAAGTAACTTTGCTCTGGTGTGAAAATTAACTATTTCTACCCTTAATGTCTCATCCATTATTTAGCTGGTATCTTACAAGAAAGGATCTCTTCTTTATATCCCACTACATATTGTAAAGCTACTGAGACACTAAGGCTACTAAAAAGCCACTGAGCAATTTACCAGATTAAAACTACCAGGGTTCCACCAAATTCCCTGACAATGTTGCATTTACTTCTTAGAAATAAGACAGAACCTGAAAAAACGTGGTTTTGCAGTTTGAACAGATGCTCAACACAAATTCTAAGTAATTTTGTGTTGAAACAATGTGCAGTATTGACATTTAATTAATAATCACTGATTTTAGACATTTACTCATTCTTCTGAGAAATCTTATTTTTAATCAATAGCTGTAGTCATTAAATAATCAGTCACAAAATCCCTATTTTGTGCTCGACACAGAACAAGCAATAATAAACTACACTGAATACTGTTTGAATAAATTAAGTAGCAATACTTGAAAATAATAAACATTTCTGCTCTTCACATTTTTTTTTTTAATTCAAAGCACACAAAAAGGAGCCACATATCACTGACACAGGATACAAAAAAGAGAGGGGTGATCAACTCTCACATGACAACTGAATTTTGTGTTTAGTCATGAAAGATCTGAATTGAAGTTGCATAAACAGAAAACTAATGCCACTGGCAAAGAGCCCTGGCCTGTAACGTTCTGTTTGGGATTCACTGGTTAAAGCAGAGGAGAGCTGAGCTCTGACAAAGGACGAGATGGGAGATGACATCAACTTCTCTCGGCAAATGAGCTCAGCGTGCCAGCGAGCTGACAAATTAGCCTCCAAAAACCACTAACAGTAGCTTACAAAGTCACAGCTGTTACCCTGTTTTGAACAACAAAATGTTGATCTGGGTTGAAATGTCTAGTTTTACAGAGGATTTGTAAGTGCCCTGGGTTTTTCTGAATTTATTTTTTTTTTTAAACAAAGCAATAAGTTATACTGAGAAAGGCACGAGGGACAGGCAGTGACTGTGCTGTGGTGACTCCATGGTGATGTTTAATCGACAAGATTAAGTAGAGCACTTGCTTATGTTCTGCACCCTCCTCAAATTTGAAAAAAATCCCTAGAGCTACAGGCTCAATAGCAACATAAATCCAGTAATACACAGTACTATATTCACTAGCAATTTCTTCAGCTAATTCAAGCAGTTCCCAGGATATTAACTTTGATAGTGGGAAAAAAAAAGCAGAAGAAAACTTGGCATCAGAAAGCTTGTAGGAGATTTCATCAAGGGGGTTAAATCAACTGAAAGATGCTAGTACTCTACTAAACAAACCTTCTTCAATGCTTCAATGCAAATATTCTTGCAATGGATAAAGTAAAAAAAAATAAATTTCATAGTATTACTTATCAGTTCAACTATCTAAGGTAGAACCGATACTAAGGTATCAGTACTTTACTTTTATGGCAAAGTATCAGGCAGTTTTCTCCATTTCTCAGTAAGAAAGAACTAAAAACTCTATTAGACACAGCAGAGGCAAACTCAGTTCTAGTGTTGGTACTCCTATGACCCTCATCACTGGTACCTAAACAGTCCTCAAGTGACAAAAATTAAATTTATTGATTTAAAAAAAGAAGCTGAAAAAACACGAGAAAATTACCATTCCCATTTTACAGACAATAAACTAAAGGACAGAAGAATTTACTCCCGTCCTGAAGGTTCATGGAGGAGCCTGTGGTTTAGCCCCACAGCTCAACTCACCTTTCAAGCACCAGATTACAGCCCTTTGCCATTCTCTCTGCTTTTTTACAGCTCTTAATTCCATAAAACTGCAACAACTTCAGCACAGTCATTCCTGCTTTATGGTAAATCCAGCCAAGACAAATGCACATCAACTTCAAGTGACCAAAGGAAACAAAAAAAACCACTGGTCAAAAGCTTGGACTGAAACTTTTAAGATCCAGTATTTAGGCATCTAATAAAGACCTTTATTTAACAATGCTACCTAAGGCCTGTTTCTTTGACACATTTCCATACTTTTTTATCATCTTTAACTAAAGTGGAGATACTGTAACAGTGACCTAAATAAGACTGTGGGCACGTTAAGAGCTGAACACAACTACCTATTTTCAAAGGGAACTAAATCAATAACTACAGGGCCAATGTGTCAGGAGTTAGGACCACATGAAGCTCCTGATATTCAAGTGAAGGAGACTTGTATCCTCAATCTATCACTTTCAGTATTGTGAAGGAACTTGGTCTCCACAAAGCTACCCACTGGAACCTAGAGAAGGTTGCATAGGCTCTTCATCATAAAAGTGGATACACTGAGGTCCAAACTGTTAATTTTATTTTAGAAAACACATACAATGAAGCTCATCTATGTACAAGAACACAGAAACATCACAGTGGACCAGAACACTCCTTTCAACCGTACCCCTTCTTAGGAAGTGATCAGTAACTATCCATTCCCTGTTTAAACTGAGGTATTTGATTTGTAGCATTGGCAACATCCATCACTGACAACACGAGCTCCTTCACCTTATGAAGATGTAGAGATAAAGCTAAGCCTTTTCACAAAAAGTACACCTTTACTTGTGTACTGCAGAATGACTGAGAAGTCTGTTTAGTTGCCTTTTATTTTTTAAATTTTATTCTCTGAACCTCCAACCAAGCTATATATATATATATATATATCTGATACAGACAGTAACATATTTCTCCCAAGAGTACTGTGAAGAGAAGAAAATTATTAATATTTGTTAAGTATTCTCATAGTGTAACATGTGCCAGCAGAGCACATGAAAGTTAGTAATTCTTCATACTAAAGTTTGAATAGTGTGCAGGAAAGATGGCAGAGAGCCAGGATGAGCAACTGCTAACGAGAAAAATCTCTGAATAACTAACTCTGAAGTTAGCAGCATTCCTTCCATGCAAAGAATGAGTCAGGAGTTCTAGGGATGAAAAAAAATGCAATCAATAAACACTATTGTAATGTACCAGACACAATGGGGTTGGAAGGAGGATCACTGGAAACTTTAAGAGTTGCTGCACTCTTTTAATCAACTTATTTTTACAGTGTAGAGGTTTAGCTAAGCTTCCTTTTTTTTTTTTTTTAACAGGGGAACACAGATATAAAGAAAAAAATAAAACAAAGTAAAAAACCCAAACCCACTATCAGCTGGGAATAGTTCTGTTTACAAGTTCTTCAGATTTCACCTCTAAATAGGCAACCTTGTAGAGAATCTTTACTGTTTTAGCAGCAGATCTGTCACATGTCCAATCCAGGAATAGCTACTGATGAGAGTAGAAAAGAAAAGCACCCAAAGAATAAATGTCCTGCAAAATTCACGAATTCTAAAAAAGTGGCTGAGCATAATAATGTCATGTAATGAATGTCTGACTCTCAGTTTATTTCTTTTATTCAAAAGGAAAAATAAAGCTTGAATTACTGTAGCTTCTATACACAGATAAAACAGATATTTTCTACCCACATCAGAAAATGAGAAGATTGAATTGCATTCAGTTATGAATTGGATTTGTTCTTCAATTAAAAGAGAAGAAAAATAAATCATACTGAAGCTAAATGACAAACCAAAGGCTATTCCATTGTAATTTTGTCCAAAAGACAACTAAATTTGTTATTTCTTCAACTCTTTGATCATTATGTTTAGCTTGTAAAGATGCCACTTACTACTGCAAATACTCCATTTCTGAACAGACTGGTATCATTTTTCCCGAAACTGAAATACAAACATTCAGCTGCAAAGCTGCTGCAAACACACACTGGGCAAAACTAGACTTAAAAAGCAAGAAAACATTGAGATGTTCATTAAAAAGAAAAAAAAAATTAAAAGACTTTGAAGAAAGTGCAACAATTAGCCATTTTACCAAATGAGCAGGATAAAGATGGCAACATAAAACAGCACAGTCTGCCTTATGCCCAAATCCCAGCAGTTACTGAAGTTTCTTTTTAAAATAAGATATAGTCCACCTATGCAGCAATAGAGGCACAAACTCTGAGAGATAAAACATTAGCTCATTTTATACCTTGCAGAGATTAGTTATTTCTGAGGGCCACAACCCTACAGCCCATGCCATGGGAATGAACTCTGGCTCATGAAAAGCCACATTTCCGTTATCATTACGGTTTTTGGCAAAGCAGCAAGGGCCCAGAGCACTGTTTGAGCCATGGGAGCACCAACTGGGACATCCCCAGGGGCCTCCCAAAGACACAAAGAGCCTGGATACAAGGAGCTGTTCTGGTATCACAAACATAAAGTATGGAATCCAAAGGAGACAAATGTCATAGAGGGCAGAACTCCTATAACCAACCTCATCTAATGGATTTTAGTACAAAGTAAGTGTCACAGGAAATAATCTGTAATGTAGATCCCCCACCCCTAAAATAAAGATTCTTTAAAATACCAATGTCATAAGGCACAAAAAAAGAATTCCATGCAAATACTAACCAACCACCACACTCTTTGATATGCAAGCACATGAAACAGATCAGTTTGGGTCATGAACTACTCTTCAGAAAGTGATAACCTTGCTTCCAAAGTCTTTTCAGGGCTGGAACAACTGAAACACCATACCAGAAGCAGAATGATTTCAGGAAAGAATTTAAAAGATTCAAGTGAACCTTATTTCTTTTTCAGCCTGGACCAATTTATGACTTTGCTGCCGAATTTTCCAACAACACTGGGTCCTGTTCCAACACACTCCTATTCCCTTTGCTAACAAGGAATTTGGCCATACAGTTCCAAAAGCAATTCAGGTGCTTAGTGGCCTGTCCTCACACATGCTGTAATCAGGAGGCAATTCCCAACAGTTTCTGGGCTGTCCATCAGCATCTTTTTGTGACAAAACAGAGGATTTCATCCTACCTAGCACCTCTGACCCCTCACACTAAACACAGTCGAGCAGCAGAGCCACAACCTGTGTCCTGAAATGGAAACACAACAATTCACTTTGATTATAGACTGAGTCTCCAAGTTAAAAGAACCCAGTTCACCCAACTGTCAGTGTTCCAAAGAACCAGTTCCGTTGGGTGCTCACTAGACACTTCCCTCATGGAGCTAACGAGTGCATGCAGTGATTTATCTTCTTAAAACAAATGACTGTTTATCCATCTACATAGAACAGAAACAAATAGTTAAAGCGATAAAATACCTAAGTTTTAACAAGAAAATAACACATATACTGTCTTATCCACACAGAATATTTCATCAAAGCTTGTATTATTTATCTTACAAGCTACAGGTCTCGATTCTGGCAACCAATCCACAAGGACTCTCTAAAAAGAGCTCTGCTTCCTCACTTCCAGGGTTGGAAGGTCAGAGGAGGAAGAGCTGTGAGTGGAAGGAATGATGCCAATTCATTTTTGTACTTTTTCTCCATTACCACCATTCAGTTACCAAGCAGTTTGTTATTCTCAAAGTATGACACACACAAAAAAAAAAATCTTAAAAAGAATTGACACCTGCTTATCTGGACAACAGTGAACGTCCCATCTATAAATGCTGCCTTTCTCCTCCAGGTGTGAAAGATCAACCAATCAGCTCTGCACACAACCCAGCACGCCTTAGAAATTTCATACAAATATCTCCCATACTCTCCATAACATCTCTCAAGTTCCACTTTTCTCTAGGAACACCTGCCCAGGCCATTTTAAGCGCTGTGCAGAGACAGCCCAATCCCTCCAAAGGAGCTCAACACCACCCCGAACCCAGCCAGGCACTTCACAACAAACTGGGTTTCACAGGCCCTGGGAGACCAGAGCACAATTTTCTCCTGTGTGTGCTGACCCCGTGGGCATCTTCTTGTTCTTCACCCTCTTACAATGTCTTCATTTCTTTTCACCTTCAGTATTTCTTCTCTACAAAATTTTTTTTTGTTAAAAGCAAAACTCATTAAAACCCAAGATTTTCTTCTTAACTCTCCTTCCAATTTTATTCTTTCCATGCCCTTCTCATCCTCTTTTCAACTCTTTCTCATGAATGATCTTCAGATCTCTTCTCCAACAGAAAACCACAATACATTTTTAATTACAAGGGAAAGTTTAGACTGTTGACGAGCTGTGACAAAGTAGTAAATCCAGGTATTAAACACTTGAAAAAAAAAAAAGAAAAAGAAAAACACACAAAAAAAGAAAGAAAGAAAGACATTGAGAGATAAATGGGAGAAAGGATGGAAGTATCTGATTTTACTTTTTTCCTCCTAGAAAATACTGTTTACAGATCTGAGGATCTCAAACTTGTGTAAGTATCACAAACAGCACAGAAGTATTTCCTCTTGCATTCACTGCATAAGGAAATGTTATGGAGTTGGGTTTGGTTTTTTGGGGGGTTTATTTCCAAAAAAATTAAGAAGCATGATGTGATGATCAGCCATCCTGCTCAAGTTCAAGCAGAAACCAACATCAGCTAATTGCACACAAATAACCAACACTTTTCATGCTGGAATATGTGGAGAAAGCTAATAATAAAATTACAAGTAACTACTCTCCCTACCCCATGAAGTTCTTCAAATCACTCATTTTTTATTACACTTCATTATAATGGGGTTTTCCCCTCCCTCTTTTTCATACTTTTCTTAAATGGCTGGCTGCATATATTTAATTGTATATTCCTCAGGGCAGGGACTATTTCCTTAATTGTCTGTAAAGTCCACTGCGATAAACAACGGTCCTATGCAATGTTCAGTAATAAAAAAAATGAGTAATGTTTTGCTGAGAAATGTTCATGCATTAATTATGCAAGATTATCTGGAAAATACAGAACTAGGGAAAAAAACATGTCATTGTGGATCCATAACTTTTAAGCATCACTATCCAATGAATGGTTTATGATATTCCATTTCAGTATTATATTTAATTTCTCTTGGGGTATTTAAAAAACATCTGTTCTGAAAGCTACCAAATGGGTATTGTTTACTCAGAAATTCTACAGGGTGCAAGGCCCTTCTACATTGTCAGTTAAACATACAGTATTTTAAATACACATTATGGAGCCAACTGTTGAAGTAGGCACTTAGAATGCAAAGGATATTCTACACATTAAAATATACATGAAAAATACTGTCCAGAAGTTATAACATATAAAAGAATACAGATTCTAAATTCAGTATTTAATAGCTATGCAATTTAAAAAAAAAAAATTCGTTTTTATTACTTACTGAACTAATTTCATGTCTTAAATCTACATTGCTGCAGACTTATACAAGCACAGAAGCTACTAAAACTGGTATAATTTTAAAACCAGAAGCAAATTTTTATTGCTGAACTATGCCCCTGAAAATGGGGTTGAATATAAAAACACTGACACCAAATCTGAAGAGTGTGAATACTCTGCTTTAACATTTTTTTAAAATCTGTTCTCTAATCTTGACTGAGGTTTGAAAGTAGCAAGTCTGTATTTTTCCAGTGTAAATGTTGTGCAAAAGCTTTACAAACATAGATCTAAATCTGCAATTGCCATTACTAAAATAAATGAAAAAATCTATAAGCAGCAGTGAAACTGGCATGCAAATAAAAGAACTGTCAAGACATATACTGCCTAAAAATAAGCTTACAATAACTATTTTAAAGGCTGTGTGTGGTCTTACCCATATATTTTGGCAAGATGCACTTTCTCCAACCACAGCTAGATTCATCCAAAAGCAGTGGCACTGGAGAGTCTCTGTCTCACCTGTCAAACTTGAAGAACGTTGTTCAGCAGACCACCATGAGTCCATGGATAGGATCCACAGCACTCCAGCAGCTGTTCTTGATAAGTGTTCTCTGACTATAGAGGCAAGAGCTTCAAAAATGTTCTGTAAGAGGATCACCCTTAACATACATGCATTTAAAACCAAACAGAAACCAGAATGTATCTAGAACAAGATTTTCGGGGCATTTATGGCACAGCAGCATCAGTGACCTCATATATCTCTGTCCAAGATTTGGAAATATTCACAGAAGATTCAAGTCTATTAAATTTATCTTAGAATTCAACTTAATTTATTTACCTCTCACAAACGACTACACTCTTCAAACGGCAGGCAACCAAATAACACAACTACAACTCTTAAATCTTCATACAGTCAAGGAAGATGAACTTTCCTCTTCTCAGTTCCTTTCCCACACACGACATGGAAAATCTTTTCACACCAACCTACAAATAGATTAAGTGGGAGGGAGAGGTAAAATGCTGCTTGGCTACAGCAAAGGTAAGATTCACTGAAAATGGGATGGAGCACGAAAAGCTGCCAGTTTTAAAACTACATAAGAGGATATTTTGCCAACCAGAAAAATCTAAGGAGAGAGCTTATCTGAATTCTGCCTATATAAAATAACTTTGACTGTTATTAAAAAGCACATAATCACTAATTTCCAGAGCAATGTGAATATTTTCTAAAAATAGGTCACTACTTTTCAACTTCTGAGATCTGCCTTGGTTTAACTACCAGTAGCATTGTATCCCAGAAGCAAGAAAGGCTCTGGAGAGATTACTTTCACTTTTCCCTAGATATATTTAGTGTACTAACTAGCATAGTTAGGATATTATTTTTCTTTGGTTTTGTCAGTAGCATGTTTGAAATAAATTTTATTAAGTGGTAGTGTATGTAACATTGCATTGTGGGTAGCAGTTTCCTGCCTTAACCTAGCCACATCCTCAGCTGTTATATGAGACAAGTTTCCCATATTTTCTGCAAGTTGACTTTAAAAAAAAGAAAAAAGAAAAAAAAAAAAGACACAGGAGAAAATAGCTAGAAGGTTAGGATGATCTTAAACACCATATATTGGCTGTTTAGAATGGGTGCATTTAACCAAAGGGCTTTTTCCTCAGTTGCTGTACAATCTACAAGATATGTATTTGAGGAACATAAGAAAAGTAATACTTGCCAAAAAAGAATGTCTGAGCAGCAGGAAGAATCAAGGTGAGACACATCTGACCATTAAGACGTAGCCCCTTACTCAAAGCCTGAGCAGGGGTTAGATTATTTCACTGGAAAACATCTTTGCTGTGCCACGAAGAAGTGAGAGAGCTGGCAACTCAAAGGAAATGAAAACCATTTTTACTACTCGCTATGACATAACGTACTCACTGGGTAAGAGATGACCATCTTCTTAATTTAAAGAACAGCTCAGTTTAAGGTTTAATGT